ATCTCTCCTATTACCCTCGAAACGACGAAAAAGGACAGGTTTTTCGGGGCTTTCCACGTCCCCCTGGTCTGGGCGCCTTCCGGGGCCCAGGCTCAAGGATTGGGTGCTTCTGGTACAAAGAAAGAAAAGGCCGCAGTTGCGAATTAGGGACAGAGATCTCAGATAGCTGCGCTAGTCCGTCGTTAAGGTATATACGAGCCGTTTTCGCGGCTCCCCAACGTCCTTGAACTAGTAATCGATCGAAGCTACCGTGGCGCTGAAAAAAGAATGTTGCCCCCCCCTACGGAGGGAATAAGGGCGGTAGGCAAACTCTTGGAGTTTCAGCCCTTCGATGGCACGGTTAAACAAGTTCCGCCAAGCATGGGGTTTGATGGTAAAAAAGTCATGTGGTTTAGCCAAGCTCTTCCAGCGATACAGGCCCGGAATGACAGAGGATTCATGGATTGTAATGCTCTCAGCAGCCCCTTGTCGGGCTCCAGACTTGGTCATACCCAAAGAAATGACAGCGGGCCCCTTCGGTGTGGTGAGATAAATATCTTTAGCGCGGAGACTTAAAAGTTCTCCGGTGCGCAACAGTCCAAAAAAGGCTACACGGAGTGAAAGGCCAAACTCAGGACAGTCTTGCAGTACGCTCCAACCACACAGGGCATTGAGCAGAGTGAGCGTCAGTCCGGTTCGGAATCTCCGCGGAGTTCCAAGCTTTCATCAGCCGCCAGCTGCCTGGGAGCTTCTTTTTCAGGCTCGGCTCGTAGTCTTGGAGTGCGGCAAGGGCGTTGTTCGCAACCGACTTCCCTTCTCCTGAGGCCCACAAGAACTCCAAGTAGTCCGACACAACATTGTCCATCTGGGAGGCTTGGCTGGGCAAGCGGAGTCCCTCCCTTGTCAACCAATCCAAGAATTGGTGCAGTGCTTGGTCATAGCGATGTCGAGTTCGTGGCTGGACAGTCAGATCTTTCAGCTTCCCTAAACTCTTGCGTACTTTTTGTCGTTGTTGTTTGCTGCGGCCTTCAACTATCTTGTTCGCGCTTTTAGCCATCCCTTTCGAACCGGCGGGCGGGACGGGCCGTCCGCCGGGTTTTGCTTTGTATCAATGTAGCCCCAGGCTACATGGAGTCCGCTAGCCAACAACAACGCACTAATTTTTGCAAGAGTTCTTCGGAGTTTTCGACTACTCGACCGTCCGCGTGACAAGGCATGGAGTACAACGAGCGAGTCAACAAGATGCAAGCACTTACTACCGCGCTCCTGAAGCTCTTTGATGCGCCAGATCAACGCTGTTTTCACAGCCCTGAGTTCCAGGGCGTTTATGTGTTCTTTTTCACCGGTCCAGTGCCATCCGACTACATTAGGCCACCGCCACAACTTTCCGGGAATCGAAGCACGCAGTCGGTGATACCGAGCATGGGATATCGGTAGCCAACTGTAGGAGAATGTCTTCTCCTTTGACTGAGACCTGTCCCAGAAGCTTCTGCGCAAGACCATAAGTCTCTTGTCCATAGGCAGTGCTATGCTGCAAGGGAGGACGCATCAACAAGCCTGCCATATTAGGGCAACGACCGGGCGTGAGCGAATCGACAATCTCCTGGACCGTTTCCTCTTCATTCAAGCCCAAGGTGGCAAAGAGACTATGCAGCAGACAAGCTACAACCGGGACCGACCAACTGTTGCCCAACAACGTCAGCCAGAGATCATTGCAGCGGGTGGTTCCCGTCTCAGACTTGGGGAGACACTTGGCAGTATACTGGAAAGGAAAACCAAGGATCGCCTCTCGCTCAACAATGGAGGGAAGACGCACGTCTCCTTTGGAATTTGTGACTGTGTTCTCCCACCAGTATTGGTAAGGGGGAAACCTGTGTTGGTCAGCACGCCACCGGGCAACCTTCAGACTCCTCATCACGATGCTTCAAGTGCTGGGAGTCCTGCTCCCTTTCAACATCACACGCAATCTGCCCAGCATCCTCAGCGGCCTGCATCCTCGCTGCCTGACACTGGGAGACCACATTCTCCCTGGGAAAACTGTCTTTCAACCTCAGCCCTCATATTCAAGCCCTTTGTTGCACTCTCTTCCAACAGCCTCTCTATCGCCAACACGCCCTCTGCATCAACCAATGCACCACCCCTCAATGCTCCAGCCTCACCAGCTTCATCTGTCCTGTCTTTTGGATCGTTTCTCAAACCTCCTTTGGAGTCTCTCTTGCATCCTCTGCTACTCATTTTTCTTCTTACCCTTTCCTTTCTCTCTCTTCCCTTTTTCACCCTTTCCTTTTTCTCCTCCGGAGGTGTAACGATCCTTTCCTTTCCCAGCACCTTCTCCTTTCTCTCGCCCTCCTGAACCACTGGCCGACCCATAGTGCTGCTGGGAGGCTAGGCGATCCCTTAGTTCCTCCCTTGCCAGCTTTGCGGCTTCTTGTCCTTCAGGGCCTTTACTTAGGCCAGCTGCGTCAGCGCTGACCAACTCCAGCTGTCTCGCGACTGTCCAATGTCCTCCCCGTCTGTTGATCGAGGGCCTTAACACGCTGTGCCAGTAAGTCCAGCGCGCGTGCAGGATGTCCACGAAGTAGCAAGTCGGATTCTGCGACAGGGTTAGGAGTTCTTGGCTCATCGACGGAGAACAAAGCGCTTGCATCTCTGAGCGATAGTACTGCGAAAAGATCGGAGGAAGAGTCTTCCGATCCTGGGAGTACAGGCTTCCGCTCTGGGTCAGCAGGGACTCCTTCATATTCGCCACTGTCTGCGAGGCCAGGCTTCCTGGGTAGCGGCGTGTCAGGCGTAGTGCCGTTTTGCGCTCCTCAAACAAGCCTTCACCGAACTCTTCATCATCTGATTCGGTGGAGGAGCTCGAATCACTCGTCTCTTCACTGGACGACCGCTTCCTCTTCTTTGAGCCCTTCCCTCCAAAGCGCTTTGCCTTCTTCAACAGCCTGCTGCGCGCCTCGGCGTCCGGGTCCAAGCAAGTCCCTTCGTACAATGCTGACAATGGCTTCTGCCCACGCTCTAGCAATGCACTGCCATCCTCATCTCCTGCCCCCTTCTTGACGCTTTGCTCTTTCTCTGCCTTCTTCGACTTCTCTTTGCGCTTCTTTTTCTTTTTCTTCTCTTTTACCTTCTTCTCACTAGATCCGCTGGGAGACCTCTTCTCCCCTGCAACCCCTGCTTGCCTCTCCTCATGAAGCGTCCTCAACTTGGCCAACTCATCATGCTGCGGCCTGCTCAACACCTCCTCTGCTGCTGGTCGTGCCTCAACTCCATCATACTGGACCTGCCAGGGTTTCGTCTCCCCATCAAGCAACCAGTACCCAGCCGCATGGATGATGTCAGGGGCCCGTCTCCTTTTGCCCACACTCAGGGCCACAGGCATGGAGCTGAAAGACACGCTTCTGGGGGTCCGACAGGAGGTCCATCATGTGATCGCTTTGAGTACCTGTTGCACGAAAGCTCAAAAACTCTTCATCCTTCCCGAGGCCTTCCACAAAGCCTGCCAGCTTGATGTGCCCCTCATAGTACGACGCCTGAGCCAGCTCTATGCGTCGCAGCGTCCTCAACTGCAGAGCGGCAAGATTTCTGAAAAAGTGGAGCTTTTCCACCTGCTCCTCTATTCCTGCCTTCGTGGCCGGCCTCCTCCGTAGTGCCGGGGCTCGAGTTGCTGGTCGAGCTCGAGGTGGCATTATCTTCGCCGGTTGAAGAGTTCTTGCTTCGCTCTTCGAGTCACTCCTTTATTTTTGCCCGCCCACCACCGTGGGTGGTTGCTGTAGGGCACCCTGCCTATCCAGCCTGGGCCTTGTCGGGCTGCCGGCCTCCTCGGGGGCCTTGCTGGCGGGGCACGGACTGGAGGCTGCCGCACTGGCGGCGGAGCCTGGCGGCGTATGGGGGCTTCGAGGCCTGGCCGGCGATCTCGGCCTGGGTGCCTCACTCCTTTTCGCCTCCCTCACTCGAGGCCCAGTCACTGAGCTACTGCCTGATGGAGTCCGCCTTCTCCTCCGATCTTTGTCTTTTTTCTCTTTCTTCTCACGCCGCCTCCTCTTCTTTTCTCGTCCTCTGGAACTGGGAGAGCTGCTTGATCTCTCCCTTCTTCTCCTCCTCCTGGACTTCTCTCTCTTTGTTTTGCTGGGCTCCTCTGGCTCAACTGCCACCTCCTCCTCGTCTGCCAAGGGATCACTTTTCCCTTTGGGGGTTGCTGGGACCTTTTTCTCAGGTCTCTCAACCCGGGGCTCCGGGTCGCAGTGGCTTGGCTTGGGAATTCGGACTGTCTGGGAGCTGTATCCTCTGCTGGTGCTCCCTTGGGGTGCCACTGGATTGGGTGGAGGTGGTGGCAAAGGTAATCTGCTGGGGACTTTGCTGGATCCGCTGGGGCGAACTGGAGTGGGGGGCTGCTGGTCTCTGGTGGCCTTGGCCGAGGCTTCAACTGGTCTGTTGGATGTTCTAGGGCTTTCACTCTTCACGGGCTCTTTCTCCTCTCGTCGGGGCTTTTCCTGGCGCTTGTCCTCCTGACTGCTTTTCTTCTCCTTAGCTGCTTTCTCTTTTTCAGTCAGGCCCTTGATCTCGGTGATCCAGTCCTGCAGGAGACTGAAGCACCCCTCCAAAAAGACGACGGCCGACTCGTCTTTTCCTGGGGGTATCACGTTCCTCAGTGACACCCCCAGCTGATACGCCTTGCGGCACGGACCGCAGGTGGCAACCGACCGATCCCTTGCCACAAAGTGGTGGCACCGGTCACACACTGGGAGAGGAGGTCCTCCCTCCTCTCCCATTCACCTCTTTCTTAAGCCCCAATGCTACGGTGAAAATATAACTGACTCTGTGATTAATCATGGGGTCATGAGATCATATACATATAAATATTATTATAGGGCGGGTCAGAAAGGAAACAGGGGAGCCATTTTTCCTTGCCGGGATATGTTCTTAATAAAGCCCGGGCCTATAATTCTTTCCCGAGAAGCCTTTTTGACCCAGGTGTCCTGTTTGTTGGACCCTTTTGTGGAATAATGAGATTTACTAACCTGGAGTGAAGGGATGCATTCCCTTGTCTGTTCATCGCCGTAGATGCGCCAGGGATGCTTGTGCCAGCAGGGTTAAAAACACCAAATCCTTGGGTTAAAAAAGCGCACTCCTAGGGTTAAAACAGCATGTTCCTTGAATTGACCCATGACGGTTTCCATTACCATGCCGATTCTTTTCTACAATGAGCTACATATGCCAGGGTCAAACAAAGGGTTGGGATGGGTTGGGTTTAAAATGGGAAATATGCTGGACGTGCCAGGAAAACATGAAAGCAAGAAAAGGATAGAAAAGGAAGGACATGGAAGCTGTAGCAGGTGAAACCCTGTCCCAGTGCTTGTGCTTGTTAAGCACTTTCATAGTGCCAGAATGAAACGATAAAGGAGTTGAAATGATGATGAACGGATCAGAAAAGCAGTGCTACGTTCCAGCACCTGCGTTCCTCCCAAACCACTTCCCAAAATTCTCAGTTGGCAACCCTGGTTGAAGCAACCTTTGATGCATGTTGATGTGATTCATGACGGGCAGCCTGTATGAACCATGAGATTGATGAACAAAGGTCCATCTGATGTTTTGATCTGACTCTGTTAAGGTATTGACTTTTCTTTTACATGATGATACCCGATGTTTGTCTTGTCCTTCGGTAGTCCCAGGACTTGTCGCGTGGTCTGTCCAAACCCCCGAAGAGGCTGACAAGCAGTCAAGCAGTCGTGGTCCCTCCAAAAAGCTTGAATTGACCTACTGTTTGTCCAAGATCTCAAGGGACCTTGCAATCCAAATCATGTCTTGAACCCCAATACTCACTCTTGACCTGCCAAGTGTCTGCCAGCTGCTTGCAACCGCTTTGGCCGAAGTGGTGGCCTTGGCAGGCTGAGAGTCTTGGAAAGGGTGGATGGAAGGCGAATCCACCCTCCATTTCCTCAACCATCCTTAGCCCAATCCTCAACTGATCATGTGTGAATCTGCTTGATGACTCCTCACATTGTGAGGGCATCTGCCGGCTTGGGGTGAACATACCTAAACCATAAACGTTACGTACAAACACCTTGCACTGTCACAGTTCTAATCTGAGACTCTTCTGAGTTCTATCTGGCACAGCCGCACAGCCTTCTGGGCGTAGTACACTCAGGAACGAGAAGTCCGACTCAATCTGCCTCCAGTGCATCTCCCTAAACATTCCTGCATGTGCTCACCGCAGCAAGTGAGTTGCCAGCCACACCCAGAAGGATGATTTTCCACTGGCTGGTCGGCTGGTCGGCTGTTTTCATCGATCCCCGTCACTCGGACAAACCTTCGAGATAGGCAGGTCATACATTACAGTGACATGTTGCCACGCAGTGACATGTTGTTTCAACCGAACATTTGTTCCTCCTGATCTCGCAGCGACCTTGATGGGTCAAAGTTTTACTTGGAAACTAAACGGTGATCTTCGGAAACTTTACGGTTTTCTTCGGAAACTAATCTTCGGAAACTTTACGGCTTTCTTCGGAAACTAATCTTCGGAAACTATGCGGTTTTCTTCGGACACTTTACGGTGTTCTTCGGAAACTGTTAAGTGGAAACTAGTCTTCGGCAACTCAAAAGTGATCTTTGGAAACTTTAAGGTTTTCTTCGGAAACCAATTTTCGGAAACTCTGCGGTGTTCTTCAGAAACTAATGTTCGGAAGCTACAAAGGGTCGAAGAGCAACATCAAGCCTGCACAAAAAACTTTCTGCAGATCGCAAAACAAGCATGTATATACTGTAGCCGTCACAAGGTACGTCAATATCCCACCCACCCACCCACCCAGTACTCCTTCATGCAAATTGGTTGCAACATTGTAAAAGTTCTGAGGAATACTTTCTAAAGCATGCAAAATAGTCTCTGAAGATCGCGGAATAGTTTCTGAAAATCGCAAAATAGTTTCTGAAGATCGCGAAATAGTTCCTGAAGATCCCAAAATAGTTTCTGAAGAATAGTTTCTGAAGAGTAGTTGCGGAAGAGTACCAAAAAGTTGCGGAAGAGTACCGTTTCAGAAGAATGGAGAGTTGCGGAATAGGGCTTTGTTCGACCTTGATGGGTTGAACACACTTCTCCAAATCACAACGACCGTGTCCTGCAGCCCTTGGCCACTGAGAGGCATCTCCGCTTGCACTCACTGCCGAAGTCAGTGAGATAACCTTCCAGCGACCACGGAGCAGGAAAGGCAAAGAGATGATGCAGAAAACAGATGAAAACAGCATGGCTACTGTATCTGTTGTTCTACCGTGTTTGCTTTCTTTCGACGTCAATGGTCAACTGGTCGGATTCCTAGCTAGCACATCCTTTTTTCCAAGCCATCGCAGCCTCCAACTCAGGTTTACTTTATGGGTTGAAGCCTAGCTTGCTTGGCTTCGGATGGCATCCGGTCAGGTCTCTTGTGCTCGACTCATCCGAGAGACGTCAGCATCCAATGTAGCAAGTGTTGCCAAGGACCTGAAAACGGATCTCCACCCGATGTCGACGATTTTTTGTGCGCTCAAAATGGGGACCACCCAGAAAAAAGTCAGGAACAGAAGCAATTGCAAGCAAATGAAACCTGGTGGTTGGTTTGTACAGGCTTAAGAAGACCGCTTTTCTGAACCCGCTCTGGATAGATGGACGGCTGCAGCGAATCTCTTGGCAGGCCTCTCCCACTGCCAAGCATTCTGACAAGCCCCCAAGAAGGCGTTATATGCCACGAGATTTGGCCGGAGCTTATGGCTCCTTGCATCTTCTAAGACCGACCTCGGTAAGTCAGAAGCATTGCTTGCATGTAGGAAAAAACATATGATAGCCTTGCTACTAGTAGCTGATTCTTGTTACTAGTAGTGATGGCCTCCAACCTACTTGCGATGGCCTCCTCCTAATAGCGTCCTTGTTACTAAGACTCATAGTTGGATCTTCTTGACGTTTTGACATTGTATTCTCAACGACATACTTTTCGAGTGGATTCAGTGCATTATCCAGCATTGCATGCATTGCAAACTCTTGAATGCTGCTGCGTCCAAATTGAAATCGAAAAGAACACTGGCTGATTGACAAAGCATTCGATACATCCTGGTCCTGCGATACCACAAGGCCACACCACCTAAATAACAACCAGCCTACAGGTTTTGATGACAGGAAGGGATGTGAGGTCAAAGTAGATTTAACCCAAGCAGTTTATAGCACTGTCATTACATCGAACTGACTTTGTCGCTTCGTTCTTCAAAAGACCGACGTTGTCTTCCTCATCTCCCTCCTTCTCGGGTTTCCTCAGCCCCACACAGGGCTGGCGCCCACTCTGCGGCCTTCTCACCAGCACTGATCGCCGCACTGCATGTGATGACATTGGGCTGCCTGGGTGTCTGAGGATGAGGCCTTACCAAGAGAGGTTAAGTGACCTTGTAGGACCCTACTGGGGTGCCTATGGGCTGGTCTATATAGGGTTCTTCGGCCTGTTGGTATGAGGCTCAACCTCATTCTGCCTCAGATTGTTGCTACAAAAAAGGAAGATTGGAAGGTTCATTCCATTGCTCATTTTTCACCGGGCTTCTCGTTCGACAATCACGTCCTTCCTCGCCCCGCTCCGGGAATTGGAGTCGTTGCTGAAGGGAAAAAGTCCAACTCTTTGAGGCACGCTGGACGGGTCAAGCGTCAAAGGGATGTGGATCTGAAGATGCACTTCCGAGTCTCTGGAGCATTTTGCACATGAGGGAAGTTAGAATCCAGAAAGTGATCCACGGTGCATGTAATATTCATATACAGCAAGGTATACAAAGGTCACATGGCAACACCTCCCAAAACATCCCAAAACCGGCTTTATACATGTCTTGCAGTGTTGGCACGAGCCCTTGTTCACAGGTCAGGGTTAGCAAGAACCCCAACACCCAGCCTTTGGATCTTCTTGACTCGACAACTACATGTAACGGTAGCATTAAGAGGAGTCCATACCGGTCAACAACTCCACTACATCCTCAACCAAAGTAAGGCAGTCTAGCTAGACCGACTCCATCAACTGCTTCTTCTTCATAGAAAGCAGGAAAACAGCGGCTTGCAAAGAGTGGGAAACTCGACTCCATTTTGATATCAAGGAACTTCTTTACACCATTTACACCGTCCTCTCTTCGGCAATGTTGTGGAAGTTTGTTTGTTTTTGATGACCACTTCTGTTCTGGCTTTGTGCCAGAGCGGCGAGCATGCCGTTCCAAGGGCAGCAAAGCACTGTGTTTTACTCATGTTGTCCCATCAGTGGAATTTTAGTAGCGCCTCTCAAGGTTCACTCGAGTTTCAGCAATGTATCTCAACAACGTAATGCGGATCTTGGCGGATCTTTGACTAACTATCACCTCACCAGCTTGCCAAAGCAAATTGGTCGGGAACTTCAATGAATGTCGCCGGCACAACTCTCCGCCACCCGGCACAACTCCCCCGCTTCTCCCCGCTTCTATACAACACTGGGAGGTGTTCTTGAAACCTGGGCAACATGGCCCAGCCACAGTGCGAATGAGGTCACATCCTCCAGAATTTGCAAAGCCCAGGTCCATTGGCTCGCCTTTTCCTGACGGGGCTCACTGGTGCACGCCTTGTGCAGCCACTTTGGTCTTCGCTGTTCCAGACAAAGCAATCTTTGCTTCCCCTTTTTGCAATGAGAGTGTCGGAGGTAGCAGTGAGCTGGTGTCAATCTGCGCAGGTGGTGGGTGTGATGGCTGTTTTTGTTTAAATACAAATTCAGAACGTTTGCCTCTCAACTCCCAGCTTGGCTCCTCTCCTTGCGGTTTTGTCTATCTGGCAACGTCTGGCGACCAAGTCTCGCAGGCACTCACTGCAGCATTGAATGCAACGAGATTACCCTGGAGCTTGCGATGGCCTGGAGAAAGGTCCAGCTCCCAAATCTCGGACTGACACATTGAAGGGCTATATAATTAAGCAGTACATTCTAAACATCTTCGGGCTCCAGGTCAGGTGTGAGGGCTGGCCGGCTTGCGGCTTATGGTATCTCTCTACCGTTCTCACCGAGCAGCGGATCTCGCGAAGGAAATCCAAGGCCAGCTGCCAGCGGCCGCCCGCTTCGCAGGAGGCGATCACAGCGGCGTAAGTGACCTGATTTCATCTGACTTCGAATGCACCCAAGGAAGGAAGAGCACCTGAGTGCCCTGAGCTGACTTCGTTTTTGAAGGAAAAGCACCCGGTTTTGGATCAAGGACTCGAGACCGAAGACGGTCAACTTGGTGAATGGCCTGATGTTTGGCGTGACGAAAAATGGCTGTCTTGATGGACTTCAACCTAATAGCAATGACCTCCAACCTACCAGCGATGGCCTCCAACCTCAGAGTGTTGGCCTCCAACCTAATAGCCACGGCCCGCAACCCACTAGCAATGGCCTCCAATCGAATTAATAGCGATGGCCTCCAACCTAAGAGCGATGGCCGTCTTGACGGACTTCAGATTTCTGATGTGCTTGACAGGGCTGGGGCTAAGAATGGCTGAGAGCTGTCGAGGCCTCAATCTTCTTGGACACCGCTGCTACAACTGCTGCTACAAAGCTTTGTTGACATGTCACAACTGTAGGCTCCACTCGCATCTGCTGAACTTGCTCATAAAGCGAAAGCGCAATCCTCACAAATGGAGCACGTGTTCCATGCTTGCAAACTTGTGCTCGACGGTTTGTACGGTGACTAACAAATTACTGTCCCATACTGTCCCAACAATTCTAAACATGGTGATACAAGCTGTACCCTACGGAGAAGCAACAAAGATCATTTGCGAGCAGGGCTTTCAGAAGTGATGTTGGCTTCTTCGAATCAACTCTTCAGAGCCATCATCTCAACGGGTAGCGGTATATATAGTTGTATATGATTATATATGTAATGTAGTCTGACAGAAAAGTAATTCCTTTGCTGCTACATGAGATGACGTCCACGCTAAATCACTCTCCATTGTCAAATTTGCTCATGTCCACTTTGTCACACAGATCAAGTGTACGCGAAGCACAAATCTAGCTTTCCAAACCAGGAGTCCATGAGCTAGCTTTCCAACGGGACGTTCCACAAAACCATCCATCAAAGTCCTCCAGTCATTCCTTCTGGAGGTGATCCAAGTATTGTAGACCACAGCATTTGGCTGCAGGCCTAGGGTCAACTCAGAATCCAAACAGGGGGATGAATTAGCTTTGGCTGCTCCCAAGCCATTACGGACTCATGGATAAAGATGTAGCCCACCCAATCAGTGTGGGGCGGTTCGCACAAACTCACTACAAGGTGCCAAGTTTCAAGGTGACAGGCTTCCATGACAGGCTTCCATCAGTGCCATGTTCCACACTTTCCGGTTTGCCCTTTTGCTCCAGATTTACGGGACAGCAATTCAGAATGGGTAAGCTGTAAGCTCAAGTGCTCAAATTTTGCAAACTGACTCTGATCGCGTTGGTCGGCGTCAGTCGGCGTCCTATAACGTGGGGAAAACGCCTTGCGATTGAAGCTTCAAGTGCAAGTCTTCCACCTGGGCGACACCAGCCAATTCGGATTCCGGATTCCAAAGGATCTGATTTCGATCTGACGACAGCCTGGAGGCCAGGCCTGGAACGCCGTGACTTCTACGTGGAACAAGGACATTCCAGCACTTTAGCAAGGCCATACTTCATGGTGACTGGCATCGTCGCCTTTTCCGCTTCAAGTCGCCTCAAACTGGCGCACGCATCGCCTGCAAATTCTACGGCTCCTTTGGAGTCGCTGCCCATGGAAACCACGAGCGAAAATAACACACGTGCACAGGTGAACAGTGAAAAGACGGACTAAACACCAAGAACCGGCTGAGTCAGCTATGTCTTCTAGCTATCCAGGTGCTTCTTCATTGCTGGCCACTGGTGAGGAGAACTTAAATCCGTAAACTAATGGCCTCACTTTGGCGCAGAAATCGGATTCCAAGGGAACCTCCTCTTTTCCAGCTCTCCAACAAAGCTTTGAAAACTCCTTGTGGCTGAAGATCATGGGCTCTCCAGCAAATCTTCTGAAAGCCTCCCTTGTCTCCGAAAAGACCTCTCTTGCTCGGTCGACCTCAGGCAATTTGGAGCTGTCATAGAACTTTGGTCTCAAAACCCTCTCGCGGATCTTGCGAGCTACATCCGCATTGGATTCCTTGACGGTCATAGGCAAAGCACCAGGCCGGGCTCCGATGCCATCCCCACGAATGTGGTAAAGTGCGTGCCATTGGTTTCTGCAGAGTGCTGCCTGCCAAAGCTCGCTGTCAGCTCGCACCCGTTCCTCATTTCCGTCACCAACCAGCCGGTGGAGTGGTGGAGACTCAAGCAACATTGCATCTCCAGGGCCAATCAGAAGCTGATCCAAAAGCTTCCGCTTCATGCCACTGGTCAAATATCCCATGAGGCTTTCTGCGGCTGCTCCGCCAGTCACAAACATGAGGATTTTGGGTGGGCTGCAATGCTGGACATCTTTGGGACGAGGCAACTTTTCTCCGGAATCAGCTTCAGCCTCCTGAACCACCTCTCGCACTGCGTCCCCCACTTCGGAAGCTGACAGGCCCAAGCCACCCACACGATCTGGAAAGTCGAGGGCTTTGCACCTTGCGATCCTTAAGGTTTTGGCACCTTCCTCAATAGCACCAGGAACGCCACTTTCCGGGTTGTTCAACATGGAGCAAACTCGTTCGCAGGTTTGTCTACAACATGCCAAGCTGCTACTCAGCAGCATGTGTGGCTGCCAATCCTGAGATTTGTTCAAGGGATCTGGAAAAGGAGAAGTCTTCCCTTAGAAAACATAGACATATTCAGGCTGTTCACAGATCTATAGGGAAAAACAACTCAAAAAACATATAAACACTGCTATCAGCAGAAACAGGGCTCCTGGCAGAGTCTCAAAGCCCAGCTCGTGCGAGTGACCTGGGTCCATCCCTCAGGACGAAGAGCTCTGTATGCGGCAGGAGAACCTGGGGAATCTGAGAACACACTCTGGGCGTTCCAAGAGCTCTCACCGTGCCGCATGAGAATCAAGCGAAGACTCGTTTTGGACATGCTGATTCTCCAGTGTATCCTATGATGCCGATACACCCGATCCAAATGCTTCTCTTGCAAAGCGCCGTCGCGTGGTACATGCAATAGACTGAAGATGGCCTGAGCAGCCCTGACGGTGGAAGACACAAAGGGCTCTTTCTCCGGCGAGGTCACTGGGTAGAAACCACTCTTCTCCAAGTGCCCCGCGAGCGCCGACAGCGTGACGCTCGACGCTCCGCTGGACGCCTTCGATTCCATGCGACCTTCGCTCCGCTCGGCGGCGGCTCGACGCGGATCGGCGGAGGCGCTCGAACTGGGTCGCGAGTCCGGAAGAAGAAGCTTCAAGGCCAGTAGGGCAGGCTTGGGCCGCAACAAGACCTTGTCCTCCAGAACATACAGGTGATGAATGCGCCTCTTCACCAAGAGCATTCTGCCCCAGCGTTGTAGCTTCATGGCACTCAAATTGCGAAGCATTGGCTCAGCATCTGCCTCAGCGAACTTGGATTTCATCGACATGTTGGCGACCTTCGCTTTCGCCATGCTGCGTCAGCTCAGATCGGACCCGATGTTCAACGTTGAATTTGTCTCCGATTCTTGTGTATCCGACTGCCATCAGTGCTTCTGTGCTTCGGCGCTGTCTGTTTCTTACGTAGGCTAGTGTAGCTGGCTTTCCTTGAGGAGACTTGCAGTCCTTTACTCATGATGGAAAGGATAGCGTTGCAAGAGCTGGGATTTGGCAAGCCCTCTCTATGTGCAAATTGTTCGAGTAACAGTACTGAAAAACCAACTGGCTGATTCGGGCTTTGCCTACCGCAAGCCAAATCCACGCACAAACAACTTGACCAAGCATTGTTGATTGGCAAATCAACAGTTGCAGTTGCAGATCCTCTTCAAGCTCTACTGTAATTATAAAGTTGGATTATAGAATTGCAACTGAATGAACTCACCTTGGTCTGGTCTGACATTTAGGACTTTGGGATTCAAACGGGTATCGCATCGTATCGTGTTCTCATCTCTCACTCATACTGACCCAACCAAGCCGTGCAATGCTCTGGAACGGAAGACTCTATGAAAACGTCATGCATCGCGCAAAACGTCCTGTCAATCGATCCATCATGATCTGTCCAAAAAGCTGTTCGATTGATGCATCGATCCTGCCTGCTCCCAAGCGCTTTGCCGCTCAGCTGCACTCATGGCTGCCCCGAAAGAGACAACGCTGCGCGTGGTGCTCGGCAAACCTTCAGCCAGCGCAGCCTTGGGAACAAACCCCAGAGTCAAAAAGGTGCGGTTGCAGCCTTGGAATGTGGATCCATGATGACAAAGGAATCTTTCTCACTCAACTCATCGTTGAAGTCGCTCCAGTTTGAAGGTCCCAATGTCCAGTTCAATTAAACTTGGATGAAGAGAGTTCTGTTCACGGGAAGCAGGCCAAGCCCCAATAGTGGAAACCTCGGAATAACATGAAATAACTATACAGCGGCCAAGCTGTCCAAAGTGTAGATGTGGCAATCATGTACGGAACACGACTAGGAACTCTATGCAGCCGTCAATCCGGTCACACGTGAGGACCGAACTCAGGGACGTCTGTGCTTTCCTGAAGTCTTCTCCTACTTCCTGCCTCCTCCCATCTTCCGCTGTTGAACAGAATGTTGAATCCTTCCATTTCCCACAGCTGGCAGAGTATCCAAGGTGGTGACGGACTCGAAACTCATACTTTGTCCGTCGCTACTCCAGTTTCGCAGATCACTACAGAGCAAGCCACCTGTGCCGCTGGCCAACGGCCTTCTCCAGCTGCCTTTACCAGCAGGCCGTGGGTGACCTCTCGACTTGACCCACAAAAAGACTCGCTGGATTCAAAGGCCTTCTCCTACCAAACAGGGGGGGTTCATTCAGGGAGAACAGCTTCAAGATTTCAAGCATCCCTAGAAGACATTGAAAAAGGGCATTGAGGTTCCCACAAAACACGGGTGTTATGGCAGCATCTTCATCACATCGTTGCCTCATCTGGCTGCAGTCCCTTGCTTCGCAGGTCTGCCAAAGCCTCCGGCCAGTGGCATCTAGCCTTGTTCAGGCGGGTCGCGACGCGGAAACGTGAGAAAGAAACGAGGCAAACGCTGGGTAACAGGAGGTTTCTGCCAACAAGGCAGCCCTGTGGTGGCCGGCTCCACTGAGCGCAGATCTGGTGTCCAACTTTCGATTTACCATTGCCATCCGCTTGAATTTGTTGTGGGCGTGTCGCGACGAGCAAACAAGTTCTTCACGCTCACAGAAGAACCTAATTCTGTCTACTCAATGTGTTAATTGAGTGGTCCCAATCGATCTGTGCCCACACTACAGAGCTAGAATCTGGTAGTGCAGTAGTGCCGGCAACCGCAACTTTCACTTAAGAGATCTTAAGATATTGGAGTGATGACCTCGCTGCAGTGCTTCAAACGGATTGACATCAAGGGTCCTGCAGCCCTCCCTCGTCTGGTCTGACAAAGTCCACTGGGCCCCCGACCGCTGCTGTGAGGATACTGTTGTGTAGAATGATGTCTGTCTGCATCTCCTCTTTGAGTTAGAAAGGAACACTTCACCAATAGGGCCGAGAGGTTTAAGCAGCTTAGGCCTCACGGCCTCATCCTTCCAAACTCTTGGGGCAAAGCTGGGCATCACCCCAAACTGCCTCTCTGAGCAACTCTCAGAGCTTTGAAGCTTCCAGGTTTCCCACAGTGTCCATGTTGGAAGATGGGAGCAACGTTTCCCCCACATCACGATTGCCCAAATTCCTGCAAAAACCTGCCGGGTCTCCTCTCTCTCCATAGCTGCCAACATCTTGATGGCTTGCTGCCATTGGTGGAATTTCGAGAGTGCTGCAATTTCGTTTGTCCACTCCTGGGCGTGGCACGGGTCTCCCGTTTGATGCCATCGAGCGACGTTGCCCCGGCACCTGAAACCGGAAATATATGAGACAAATGATGTATCAAACAAAAATTGCACTACACCCCCTTTTCATTGGTACTAGCAATCTCTTTGGGATTTGAGACACCCTGCTGACGATCGCATGAAGTTGCACCCTGCAGTTTACAGTAGTTGTGACTGTGCCCTGCAGTTTACAGTAATGTGCCTGGAAAAGCAGGTTACTGCGACTGACTATATAATTGAAACACACACACACACAAACAAACAAACAAACAAGCAAGCAAACAAACAGAGCCGAGCCGGGAACCCGGAACCCGGAACCGTGAACCCCGAACCGAACCGAAACAACACAACACATCACAACACACTATTCTTTTTCTCCGCCGCTCCCTCCTGCTGTGTCTCTCTTTCACCTCTCCCCATGTGCGATGCAAATGCAACCCAGTCCATACTGATATGTCTCACTCAAAAGAAACAGTGCTGTCTTGATCTAGAATCTATATAACTGCAGGTTGTTCACGCCAAGTCGTCCGCACTTTGTGGAAGGACAATTGACTATCCATGCGCTGCATGTTTACAGGGATGCACATACTTCACTTACCGTAGTTACTTTACATCACGACATGTCTACCTCATCTCTGCCCAGCTTGCCAAGCTGTCGAAACGCAAAAGGCCCTGCCAAGGGTCTCTTGCTGTGCGCCCTGGTCTCTGCCGCATCCTGCCATGATTCAACGCGCCCGGAACTGCGCGCCGCGCAGCGGGACCCGGTGGTCGAAACAAGAGACAAATGGCTGCAAAGTCGGATCTTCCTCCAAGTTGAAAGCTGATACTCTACATCTGCCTGAACATTGGCACTGCATCTCATAGTTAATGCTTCGCACATCACCAGGTCAAATTGCATGCTTTACACACAGACATTGGGCGTCCCTTGAGCGCAGCCTTTTATTTCTCTGTCATCTCAACAGAAAGGTATTCTGTGCTGCTGCCAGCACCGAGGATCCATCCCCAGGTATCCTAGGAGAAGGGAACAGGTCGGTGAGGAGTGAGGACGATCTGAAAAGCTTTCTTTAATGAGAACAATTGCATCTTGGGTTGCTTAAACAGAGGTGACACCTCAAAGCAATAGTGATTGATCTACAATACTCTACAACAACAATGTAAATACTAGACTCGAGCTAGCAAAGAGCTACCATGTCATATACCAGTAAAGATTCACCATTTGCTTCGCCGTCAGTAAAACTCATTCGAACAAACACCAACGTGAAATGGCAGTCAAGCTGATAGGAACGAAGTGCAACTAAGCATTATGTCCTGCTTAAACAATGACTATATAATATATACATAGAGATTGAACATTCTTGGTATTGGGACCCAAGTCCGACGGTGTGCAACCAAGGCGCTGGGTCTCTGTGGACCTTCAGAGTGCTGAATCATTCACAAAGGACAAACAATGATGAACGGGTTTTGCGCCAGCAGCGATAGACTATGTGACCATCACTTGACGTTATCCCGTTTAAACTACAATTACAAATGACCCTTTCCAACTTAACCTCGGCTGCTGTGTGACTGCGGGAAGAACGCATTATATATATATAAGTATATATATATACACTCGAGTGTACAGCGCCTGAGCCTGTGTACATGTTTTCAGATTGTCCGTGTGCCCTCCTCTCGTCAATGTGTGTTTGGGCTTTGAATGGCTTGTTGACATGCTCCTCCTTGAGCTGTAATGAACAGGCATCTGTGATTCTCTATGGCAGCCTGTCTTTTGCTCGCGTCGCTGCACTCACAACCATCATTGTAATATCTTCTTACTACTAGGAACAAGGACGCTACTAGGGGCTCCTGGCCTTACTACTAGGAACAAGGACGCTACTAGGGGCTCCTGGCATCGCTACCAGTAACAAAAACGCTACTACGAGCAATTGCCATTTGAACACACCATCCTGCTCTGCATGCGCCGAGCACTGCCGGAGACCACCCATTTCACAGGGGAGAACCGGTCGTTCGGGGCTGTTTGCTACTAGTAGCGATGCCCTTGTTACTAGTAGCTTCTTGTTACTAGTAGTAATGCCAGGAGTTACTAGTAGCATCCTTGCTACTAGGGCTGTTTGCTGCAAGTTTCGCACCTTCAAAGGAGCCATCCCTTCCAACTGGAAGAGCTGGCCGTCCTGCTCCAAAGACCTGTCCGAAAGGACACGCCGTAACCGTAGTGGTCGATGTTGTTCGAAGAGAAAGGAGTTTCAAGGGGTCGCTGGGTCCAAACCCGGGGCTTTAAGATGCCCTGGGAGAAATGCTCCTAAGATCCAGGATGGGGGCATGGGCCTAGCACATGCCTTGCAGTAACCTTTGACATCCTTGCAGCAACCAGGACACTCTCAACTCATCTCAACTCACTTCATGCCAAAAGGCCAAGTGGTCTCGCCGAAATGTGGAGAAACAAACACGCCGTTCTTCTGAAAATGCCTGGCACGGCAGGCAGCAACTCGGACGTGAAAACCTTCCGATGGCCTGTGATTTCGGACGTGGAGATTCACTTGGGGAAAACTCTTGAATCACACGAAGTCATCTCTTGCCCCTTGATATCCAGCTGTGGGCAGCACCATCGCTGCTGCGCTACACTCTGAGTAGCCAGGAAAATTGAAGAGCTCACACGTGCAACAAGTTTGAACTAAGTCCCGAATATATTTTGAAATAGTTTGAACTAAGAGCCCTAAGCTCACATATTTTGGCCTAAGTCCCGAATTGGCAAAACCGAACTGAGACTCAGAATTGCCCTCTGCGCCTGTGGCCCATGGAGGATGGACGCCCATGGTAGATCAAATGCCACCGAAAATGGGCCACCTGCCAAATTCCATGTTGTTGTTGAACAACTGGAGCAATAAAAAAGGGCCCTTGACCCATAACATGCCACAAGATGCCTCTCCTCTATGAGTCTTTTGTCTCGAAGACTCGATCAAACACCTTGACTGCTCAACTTGCAGCGCTACACCTTCCACATGTACATACAATCTACATTATTTCACTGGACGCCAAGATCAGGATGGCCCCCCAAATCCTTAGGTCCCTGCAAAATTATCTCCGTCGAGCACATCCAAACTGGTTTCTCCCGCAAAAAGGGATAGGAATTCGGAAAGTCTTTGATTCGTCAATAGAGCTTCGTTTGACATCGGTTGCATCCTTCAAGAGTCTGTCTCCCTTTGTTGTGCTTGACCAACATCTGGTGATTTCTTTTTCACCAACTGCTGGGCGTCTTGAGTTTCGATTCCAACAGCCATGAATGATTCTTCTACCGACTGTGGAATTCAGATTTGTAGAGGCATTGTCATTCTAACGAGGAACAAGTATCAGGCACCGCCAGCATGCACTTGAAGCGTTTCTTTTGCCTCGTCCACAGTGATCCTGGTTCGTTTCCGGTCCAGTTCAGCATGGACATAGCTCCGCTTCCTCGGCTTCGAACAAAGGCCAAAAACAAATATCCAACACCTATCTCAAGGAAAGAAACTCCTGAGCTCGACTTCCATCTATGAATGCAAGCCTCAAGAGCTTCTGGAAACTCCCCTTCCAGCTGCTCAACACATTCAACGCCTTTGACCCTTGCATCCAAAGATTCCATTTGCTTCTGGAAAAAACACCTTGATGTCCTGGCAGTTGCGGAGAATGCTCGGACACTTGTCCTTGAGCGGGAGATGACTCCTTTGAGGGATAAAATATATGAAAACCCGTTTGTCCATGTGTGTGTGTGTCCCGCTTTTTTATCTGTTGGTGCCCCTCACTGAATCACTGAACTCAATCGACGATCCATCTCCTCACATACAAACCACCTTTTGCCTTCCTGGAACTTCCTGCCTGCCATGTTGGGACTGGAGCGGTTTACTGCCTCCATGAGTTCAGATTTCTCCTGGCGGTGGGTCGGCGGCTAGTTTTTGTTTGTTTGTTTGTTTGCCCAGCTGCTTGGGGAGTTGCCAGGGTGTACCTTAGAACTTAAAGCCAACAACAGATTCAGACTCCCATTTTGAATGACCTTCGTGTGGTTGATTTCACAGCGGGCGGCGAACTCAACAGTCCCCCAAATCCAACTCATGTTGCTAGCTAATCCTCACCAGAATGAACTGTTTCACACTATTTCAACTCCTGACCCCAGGAATGGGCTCCAATCGACAGTACAACAACCACCTACGAATGCCTACGAATACTTACCAGCCTACCATCCACAGGAACCCCCGTTGCGGCTCCGTACAATGCCCTGGCTTCACGTTGCGTCGACGCAGCAAGGAGCGGCACTCAGCCACCGTGAGCTGCAGGCCGCGGTAGTTGCCTCGATCGACTTGAGTCAGGGTGGCGCTTCGAACTCCCGAGACCTGACCACCTTCGTGTGCCAGAAAAGGAGACGCAAAATGCGTCCTCGGTGAGTCTCCAAACTGACAGAAACATTGCTTGGGAGCCGCCTTTTAAAGCACACACACACATGAGAGATATAGTTAATGAAAAGTAAAGCGCGCCGTTTCAACAGCTGCGGTCTGCGTACTTTGGGCCTTGATTAGGCGGTTCAGTCCATGGTTGCTTCCTCTTGTCATGTACATGTTATGGGGTCATTGAACTTCCACTAAATTCTGTCACGCCCCCTATGGCAAGAGGAATGCTGTGAGTGCATGGCTTGATCGTCTTCGCATTGGAAGTCTGCGCCAAATGACTACAGTCGTTGGTGTGGTAACATGCTCCTGTACGTGTCACCCACCACTCCTTTCTCTCAAGTGTGAAACGCACCGATCCAAGCTTCTCCTTCACCACTTCATTCGCCTGGATCATGATCTCTTTGGCTCTCTTCTTCCATAGCTCAACAGCCTCCCAGGCTCGTGCACAGTCTTCAGCCATCTTCTCCAGCTCGGCTGCATGTTCCTCTTGTGTGCCACCGTACCCGGTCATCTTTGCCATCAGGTTGTCCCTGTCTTCCTTGACCTTTTCCAGCTCGAAACGCAGTTCACTGCGCATGTTGTACATCCTCACGACTTCGCGATGCTGGAAATCTCTGTCCTTTCGGACCTCTTTCATCTTCTCTTCCTGTTGGCTGAGTGGAAGACGAGCCTATGAGGAGGTCATCGAAGAGAAGCAGGATGAGCGGCGACCTGAGCAGGCGGATGAACCGCATCAGAGAAGTGAAGATGAAGTGATGGCAACACAGCCTGAAGAGCCATGGCAAGAAGATGATCAAGACAAAGTGAACATGCAATGGCAAATCGTTCAGCTCGAAGTCGTGGTGGCTGAATGCTTGCACTCCATCCATTGCCAGCCGTGCCAAGCTCAAGGCCCGAATCATCGACAGGCATAGCATGGTCACCAGTGGCCGAACCCACCAGGATTCATCATCTTCATTCTCATCCCCTGCTTCTTCTGGCACTTCTGCACTCTGTCCACCTTGTAGGAGCGACAGAGCTATCACCAATGCCACTTTGGCGTTTGCACCCATTGTCTTGGCCATCTTGGTGGTGTTTTTCTTGAGCTCTTCCTTCAACTTGATCTCATCGTATTGGGCTTTCCCGATCTTCTCATCGTCGGCATCGATCATTCTGATCATGTACTTGAGGCCGTTCATCCTGGCCTTGCTCAAGATTTTGGTCCCAAGGTCACTCGAGTTCACCGCCGTTGGGATCCCAGTGATGCGGACCTCTTTGGCATTGACTCGCTGCTGAAGCCATAGCAGCCCAGCAGCTATGTGCCTTGTCCTCCCAACTCCGATGCGTCCAGCCAAAGCTCTTGCAGCTGACGAGTCAGACCTGCAAACCATCTCTGCTTCTTCAGTCAGGAATTGCCAGCAATGTCGAATGAATATGCCCTCGCTGCAGCCACCGACCATAGCAACGTACTCGCTTTCTCCACTCGACAAGGCGATTGACCGCTGGCTCCTGACATAGCTCTCGACCAAGCATCCGTTGAGGAAGATCTGCGCTGAGCTCACTGACTTTCGACTGTCCCGCTGACCTGCATAGTCTGCATCACAAATGACTTCTAAAATGCTCTTGCTCTCCTGGTCGATGTCCCATTCATAAATGTTGTCGTCCGTGTTCAGCATGCATCGACCTTTGGCTCCATGTTCAAACAAAATGCCTTCATTCATGGTGCCGAGCAAGTAGGAGCTTACGTGCTGCATTGCCCGCCAACCTTTCTTCGTCGGGCGTGACATCAGACTTGCAAGTCCTTGGGCCACATACTGGATGTCTGGTCTATCAGGTGCAATGTACAGGAGCTTGCCAACTGCGCTCCTGTACTTGGTGATGTCTTCTGGGTTCATGGCCTCATCCTCTTTGCTGAGCTTGTTGAAGTTTCCATCACCTGGAGTGGACCTGAACTTCTTCTGATCAACCCTCGTCAGCTTGGCCAGATCCTTGATGTGCTGCTGGTCCGGGCGCATTGTGATGCCCTTCTCAATGATTTCCATCTGCTTCTTCAGGTAGCTGAAACCTCCTGAATGAAGCGGCCAAAGTGGCCCTATGGAGAGAGACTGTGCTGTTCAAAGATGTGGCCTCGTTCAAGCACAAAGGAGACCCTGTGTACCGGAAAAGCGTCTGGGTCGGCAAGAGCTCATGGAGTGACAGCCACATCTGCCTCACTAGATCTGGGGCAGTTGAAGCGAGGTCCATCAGGAGGTGACCGTCGAGGTCTACCCTGGCAATACTCAGTACAGGGCATCCTGATGAAGACCAAGTTCGCTGCAAAGCAACTAAGTGGCTGACACGGCGGAGGATGCTGTCGGTGATGAGCAGGTTGGCGAGCAAGTGGCTGTTGGCATGTATGGTCATGCGTTTGGACCAACCACTCCAGGGTTCCCGGCAGAAGGACATCCCAAGACACCGGCACGAACACCAGCACCTCCGACACCAGGCAACAAGCCAGGAGGGAACAGAACACCAGGTACAAAGACTCCAATGATTGTACCTGTACCAGCCACGCCTGCAGCAGCAGTACCACCTCCACCACAGTGAACCAAGCTCCAAGGCACTGGATCCAAGGAGCCTCCACCGGTTGCCATTGGGTGAAGCTGAAGAAAGCCCCAAGCGAAAGATCGTCCGACTGCCAATCCCCGAGGCTATGAGAGGTGAACCAGCTGGCAATTTCCCTCCAGGCGCCCATGAAGTCAGTCCAAAGAGGCAGCGGTTGGAAGATGTAGTTGGCAACCTAGCACCTGTGACGCCACCTCTGCTTGGCAAGAGAGAGTATGCACTCCCCTGGGACGATGAGGACGACGAGAAGAGACGCATGAGTCCCAAGCGTCGTGTCAGGAGCATCCAGGAGGAATTCCCAGGTGGTGATGAGATGATTGCAGAAGAGGCTCTGCAGCATCAACTTAATGCTGTCAGCGACGAGGAGGAGGAGATCGACGCCAGCAAGGGCAAACCACCTGTGGTTGATGATGAAGAACTGGCCAAACTGGATGCAGAAGCGTGCAGACATGAAGAAGCACGCCTTGAGGCAATGGGAGTGCTTGAGCGGATGAAGGACGATGAAGAGGCGGAGGATGGATCGTACGCGTTGACATCCAAAATGGTCATCACATGGAAGCATCGAGATGAGCAGGGTGGGTGGTTCCGACGAGCCAGGCTGGTGGGCAGGCAGTTCAAGTGGTCTGTCTTCACCGAAGATGCTTTTGCTCCAACCTCAGCATCAGTGGTGGTTCGAATGCTGTTGCAACTCCAGATGAGAACAGGTTTGGCCTTGTACACCTTGGATGTGAAGGACGCCTTCCTGTTGATGGACCAGCCGGAAGATGAGCGGGCCATGATCGTGACCGAGAACGCCCAGTACAAGCTGAAGAAGAACCTTCCGGGTCAGCTGAACGCAGCAGCACAATGGTTCAAAGGTTTCTGCAAGGTGGCCAAAGAATATGGTTTGGTGCAGGATGTGATGCAGCCAACGATGATGAAGATGGCCCAAAAGGAGGGCGACCCAAAAGACGGCCGCTTGTACCTCACCGTCCATGTGGATGATCCCATGCAGCATGCCTGAAGCTCCAGGGATAGCAGTGCATATCACCAGTCAACTTCACTCCAGCTTTCTCCTCTGCGAACTGCCTGAGGGTGTTGGCCAGTTTGCGGACTGATTGCACCGCCCGCTCGGCCTGACCGTTCGATGCATGTTGATCTCTTGATCAGGTAGTTCGAATCTCTGTAGTCAGACCGAGAGTGGCTCGGGCATGTTGGATTGCCCGCAGGATCTGACGAGTTGCACGCTCGCCGTCGGACTGGAAGATGATGGGCTGCGTGTTGCACACCTGCACGCTGAATCTGGTGAGCTCCTCAGTGACTTGCTTGAGTGATGCACTGCCCTTTGCCTGCACAGGGATACAGAGGGTGGCTTTCGACTCTGATTCGGCCACATATAGCGCTGTTCCCCATTGTCGGTCTTCAGGAGCTCCAGAGGTAAAAGTGAACCCATAATCAAAACTGATCACAGGTCGTCCTCTGTCCTTCCGCTCGCCCTGGCTCTCTTTGGTCCTTGGGTCTTCTTTTGACCTGGTGGCTACACACTGTTGGCACCATGACTGGAAGGGAAGGTGCGTCAGCTGGTGGAGTTCTTGCTCGTGCCTGCTGGGCAACTTGGGTGTCTTCAGTGGCACCGCCTCACGTCGACTCTCAGAAAAGAGCCTTTGTGCCACCTCGTAGGCCAGCTTCTCCTCCTCCTGGTGTTTATAACGCTGGAGCCTCTTCAGCACTTTGATCTTCGAGCCTGAGGTTGCTAAGCTCAACCGTTTGCAGATGTCCTGAAGGTCCTTCAATTTCGTCTCTTTGTCGAACGTACAGGTCGTCTATTTGCACCCTCAGCTCTTCAGGGTCGATGAATTGGATGTCCTCAGCAATCTCAGCTCTTCCTCCACTGCCAGCGGCCAACATAGGAAACTCGCCACCTTCTTCGTCACGTTCATCATCTGGCCACGAAGATGGTTCTCCTTGCAGCAATGGGTACTGGCTCACAGGGACCTCTGAACTCCAGACAAAATAATCTCGAATCAAACCTGGAGCTACGAAAGTCAGTGCAGGTCGAGGTCCTCCTGGAGGTGTGTCACGATATACAGCCAAGCTTTCAATCTGCTCCCAAAGCCCGCTGTTGTCCTTCTTCTTGAGCAAAGTCATTCGTGCACACCATTCATCACCAAAGGATCGGCTTGGATCCAGGAAGTGTGTGGCCTGAGGACTAGAGTGCACCACAATCCCATTGGGCAATGCGTGCCAACCTGGCACCTTCTCCAGCAGTGCAAGCTCTCTGGAGATGTATCCATGCAGTGCCCGTCCTTCACCTCGAACTGGGAAGACGTGGTTCTCATCAGCATCAACCTCCATCTCTGGACTGTCCGACAGTTCCAAGGGCTCACTCTTCACTTCTCCATGCCTCAGCTTCCAGTTCGCCCATCGTGCCATTCTTGCCTTCACTCGTCCATCTTCACTGCTGCTCGCTTCTACCACCACATCACCTGACTCCTCCGTGGTGTAGCCAGGTGAACGAAGTTCCATGGCCTCTGCCTCCGATGTCTTTGACTTCTTCATCGGTGCTTCATCTGCTGGTCGATCAGCATCTGTGGGTGGTATCTGTTCTGACAGCTCCTCCATCAGGGCCCGTGTCTCATCGACCTCAGGACTGGCAGCTCGCTTCACGGAATTGGATGTTCAACCCCGGACGCATCTGCTGCTGACTTCTCTTCATTCTCAGGGACCTCCTCAGCTGGTGTGACCATGTCATTCGGTGTGGCCATGTCATTTGGTGCAGCTTCATTTTCCTTGAGCGCTGCCTCATTCTTGGGGACTTCATTCTCCACCGTCAGTGGCTCATCTTCTGTCTTGTCTGCTCGAACCGCACAGACCTGGACATCCATCACTAAGGAATTGCGCTCCAAGCGTGCAGGAATCTTCATCTTCTTTTCAGGGTGCTCGACATAAAGACCATCTTGATCTCTTGACAACACCCAGCCCTGTTTGAGCAATCGTCCAAAGCTCAGCAATGGATGTGACACTCCAACTCCCAGGGCAAACTGCTCGACAAATTCAATGAGCTCTCCATCACGGGTGTAGGCCTGCAGTCGTAATCTGCGGTTCCCTGAACTTCTGATCGCTCCTCCTTGAGCGTCCATCATTGCCACTGAGCGGGAAGTTCCTGGCATGCCCATAGCGTAGAACTCCTCCGGCGCAACTGACACATCTGCCCCAGAGTCCAATGTCAGGGCAATCGTAGGTGCATCGTGCTTCACCACGCAAACTCGGACTTCCAATGCTTCGTCCTTGGCGGATTGGGCTCGTAGGTCATGATCTCCTGTACTTCCCAAGGGCGAAGTCCCAGGTGGCTCAACTTCAATCTCGCTCTGGCAGTCATAGATCTCCTCGTCGACCTCATCTTGCACTTCTCTCACGACCAAAATGGTCATGGCCAGGTCATCACTCTCCTCTGCTGTCTCCGGCTCTTCCGCTGAATCATCCTGCGTCAGGTCGAAGATCTCCATGGCTGCCAGGCCTGTAGGCGTGACCAGCCGCACTCTCCTGACTCCAGCTCTGTACGTAGAGTGGGAGGTTGCACCAGTTGACGCTCCAGTCGCCTTGCTCTCTTCCAGCCTGAGTCACTTGTTGACTCTTGTTCAACTCCTGGCTCTCGTGCTCCTCAACCTTGTTGATCTTCCTGGGAGCCCAGCACTCTCGAGCAAAATGCCCAGGCTTGCCGCAATTATGGCATGTGCCAGCTCCTCCTTTGCCCTTCTTGCCATCCTGCTTGCCAGAGCCTTTTGTAGCTTTGCCACCTTTTCTTCCTCCGTCCTTAGACCAGGTGTTCTTGCCTTTCTGCATCTTGCCCTTGTCCTTTCCTTTCTTGCCCTTCTTTCCACCTTTCTTGCCACCCTTGGACCAGATGGCATCCACCTCCATAGGGCCACCGCGATCTTCTTGGTCCATCAGCGGCTTGACATTCATCTGCAGGCTCCCATCACTCATCCATCTCTGACTGACCTGCTCATACATCTCGATCCTTTGTCGAAGGTCCTCGAACGTGGTCTCGTCCTGCAAGGTCATCTGGATGTGGAGCCTCAAGGTGGAGGGCAACGCAGCAATCACCGAAGCGATCTTCAAGTCATCCGGGTAGGTCACGTTGGCGCTTCGTTCGTACTCCCTCACCATCAAGTCAAAATGTGGCAGCTGTTCGGTCACAGTCTTGTTCATGTCAAACTGGATCTTGTTGAGGGACTGGATCAAAGCCAACGACCTCTACCGAGTCTTCGGTTGCAAGTCCCTGGTGAGAGTGCGCCAAGCCTCAAGTCCATTCTGATTTGCCACTCCCCTGACTAGCCGTAGTGGCCGTTGCTTCATCAGTCCTGTCAACAGGGAGTATAGGCGCTCGGACTGGGGACGGATGTTCGGCAGGGAGTCGTTGATGGCATTCTCTTCCTTCTCCGCGGACTTCATGTGGGCCAGAATTTGGGGATCTACTGCACCCACAAACGTTTCAAATTGAAACCGCCAGTCCATCCATCTATTCAACTCTTCACTTCTATTCTCAGGGGCGAAATTGGTTGGTGGTTTCAGGTGCTTGGTGAATCCTGAGCTCTTCTGGACCTCTATGAGCCCGTGAAGGGCCTGAACCAGCCCTTGAACTCCACTGATGGAGCTGGTTGCACCAGTAGTCGCCCCACCAGTGCCATCGTGCTCCTCGATGCCGGCCATGTGCGAGACCCGGCTTCTGACACTCACCCGGGCTTTCGGTGAGCCGCTCTACCCCGGTGGATTAAGGGTCACCCTGGAGATGCTGGGGCTTCCAGCAGAGCTCCGCTACCATGAAAAGTAAAGCGCGCCGTTTCAACAGCTGCGGTCTGCGTACTTTGGGCCTTGATTAGGCGGTTCAGTCCATGGTTGCTTCCTCTTGTCATGTACATGTTATGGGGTCATTGAACTTCCACTAAATTCTGTCAGTTAATATATGTTAATATGAAGGTCACCAAATGCCTAGAAGAAGCCTGAGTAACCAAAGACCAAAGCCTGAATATCCAAGTAAATGCAACAAGGTCCGACCAAAGAGAGTCTTCGGTGCAAGAAATTTCAAACCTCCAAAGTCTCAAGGTCCAAAGCCAGCCGAGTGCATTAGCCCTCTACCAGAGAACGGAAGCACTGGCCAGCAAAGTTGTTCTAATTTGTTCTAGTTACAGACAGGGACCAAGAGCGTAGGACTCACCAGCTGCACTTAGATGCCCAGGTGCGGTTAATAGCAGGTACATTGGCACAAGCACTGCATGAGCGTCTTCGTTGGCTCTCGTCTCATGCAGGCTCCGAGACGCCCTGCTAACAAATCGTCAACAAACAATCTCTGATTCCAAGGTTCACACAAACACAAACACACACTGCAAACTCCTGCCAATGTTTCCGTCTTTGTTCAAGGAGGCACCGTTCCGGAAGAGCTCGCTTGACGGCATCCATTGCTTTCCTAGCAAAGTTCTGCAGTGTTCAGCTGACCCAAACCGGAATGCATCGACCAAACTGCATCCGTATCCTTTCAACTTTCAGCCAGCTGTTCTTATCTCATAAGGACTGCAGACTATGGATGTTTTGAGGATGACGACGGAGAACGGTTTGAGTTTTGTTTGAAGGTTCTATTGAAACTACAGCAGGGGATTTGTCCAACGGACCATGATGCAATCACCACGAACAACCGCCGACCCGACAAACAGTGGCTGCGCCTTCCCATCGCAAGCCACATAAATGCCTCCACAAGTCCTGGACGTCGCGGCGGTGTGAAGAGCCAGGCAGGTGCTTTCCTCATGCGCTTATCATTTCGTTCATTTCTCGTCCCCAGCTTTCTCAGCCATCCCAGAACGGTGCTGTGAAGCTCGCGATGGAGCAACAATTCTTGTGGCCATGAAGCTCGCGCTTAACGCTCACCTCATGCTCCGCCACACGGCGCAAGGCCGACTGCAGTGCCGCTGCACGAGAAAGCTCTTCCGCGGTGAGGAACGAAAAAACCTCAAGCAGCATTAGAATGATGTGGAGGTTAATTGTTAGATTTATGATTCTACCTGAGCGACAATATTGCAACATGATGCAACATGTTCTAACATTTGGGTGAGCGCTATCAACAAAATCAAATTTGAACTCCAGGTAGGCTGATTCTCGCGTAAGAACAAACATCTAACCTACTGTAACCGTAAATGCGACCGCACAAGCACTCCAATATGTTTGGCAAGCTTCGTATCGTCTTCTCCCCTCCAATGCAACTTCTGACCTTCCACCAGGATCTGAGCGTGGTGCTGAAAGCCAGTTCTCTTCCAAAGGAAGCCCAGTTATTTCTTCTGGCAGCCTGGCCAAATGTCGCTGCTTGGCAAAGCGAGTCATGCATTTGTCTCTTTTTCTGCCCACATTGGCACGGTGGATGAAACGCAAGACTCAAACTTTGGTTTCAGAGATGGACTCTTCTTTTGCTTCTGCACATCAACATGACTGCCGGTTGGTATTTACTGATTAGATCCGCGCGCATCAATATTCCACATCTAGTTTTGATGTGCAAATTTTGCCCATCTTTTCCCCAACAGTGAATTGCAGCAAACATCCATGCCCTGATCTTTTGGTCGACGTCTCCTTAGCTTTGCGGGCCCCTAAGCAGCTGAGCCGGAACGCAGAACGCCTGCGCTGCTCTTGGTGCGTCGCAAGCTCTTTCCTCGACGCGTCAGCTTACTGTTTCGTAAGCATGCCATGGGGGCCGAAGCCAGATCTCCACAGATATTCAAACCACTCTCATCCCGTTCAGCACCTCCATGTTTGAACTCATGAATCAAAGGGAATCTGGGCCTGCAACATGAGTGTGAAGCAAAGTTACAACCAAAGACCCGGTAGAGTCATGTACTAGCGCTTCCAAGGGGTGCCCTGTCTGGAGACCTGTAAGTAGTGTGGAGATATCCAGCCAGGTGACCCCTTGGAAGCAGCTGGTATATATATATATATATACGTTTGATGTTTGAACAAGTTTGAACATTGACATGCAAACAACAACACCACACCCAACTTGTGACCCAAGATCGCCCCATGATCGGCGCCCCGCCTATCTCCTGAGCACAGTGGCTGCTGCGCCTCCTCGGAGATTGTAGCTCGGTGCCTCTCTCTGGGCTGAGACGATCTGAAAGGAGTCGTGATCGAATTCGAGAAAACACCAAAAGAAGGTAAGGGCCTTCAATACGGCCCCTTTAAAAGGGCCTCATTAAAGCAGCCCATACCTTCTTTTTGTGTTTTCTATCTTCTGGGTTGGGTCTTGTTCGTTGGGGCGGTGGCCTGAGATGTCATGACTACAGTCTACCAAAATCGGAGGAATTTCTCAGGATGGTCTCGATCAGGATTTTTTGCTTCTGATGAGTGCAGAAACTTGGCCGCTGTGCGTGTCACTGTTTGATGTTGTCAGGCCTCAGCCAGCTCTTGAGAAGCTCGCGCAGTCTCTGCAAAAACTGCCACATGGCACAACACCGATTTCAAGGAGGTTATGCGCACCTCCCGTTCTTTGGTTCAAACTTGTGCATCAGAAATCGAAGGCAATCTGTTTGCCCTTGCGTTTGACATTATGTAAAGCTGGTCTGGCATTCTTAATATACTGTATAAGCACTTGCTGGACACGGTGGGGAGGTTTTTTGGTGCTTCAGCTTCAGCAAAAGTTATTCTTTCTCCTTAAGCGTCGCATTGCGTCGCCAAGATCCACGAATCCCAGGAGAATATGATCACAATCTTCCCTTGCGAGGGAACTGGAGGTAGTCCTGCTACAGAGCTCAAAATACTTGTGTTGACAAGGACCTTTGCAATACATATATATATATATATATACTATGGCGAACTTGCAGTTATATATAATGCGTTTCAAACGGAAATATCTGGATGTCATATTCTAGCTGCCAGTGTCAAATTTCGCGAGCTAAGGGGGCACCCCCGTTCCAGTCATAAACAAAAACCTTTCGTAGGGGGTTAAGCGCCCACAAGTGACCGGGCACAGTTCTTTTTCCTCTTCCATCAACCGCTTCAGTGCTTGGCCTTTTTGGCCGCCGTGTGACCGGCGTCTTCCATCAACCGCTTCTTCTCCAGGGCCTTTGCCCTATTCTCCTGAACCCTTCGCTTGAGAGCCTCCAAGTCCTCCAAGTCCTTGGTCTTTCCACCATCCTCCAAGTCCTTGGTCTTTCCACCATCCTCGTCCTTTCCACCATCCTCCACCATGTCCATGGTCTTTCCACCATCCTCCTCCATGGTCTTTCCATCATCATCCTCCTCCATGGCCTTTCCACCATCCTCAAGCTTGTCGCCCGACGTCTCTGCGCCTGCTGCTTCTCCGCAGGTGCCGCTGGCGCTGCTGCCCTCCCAGGTCTGTTGTTCCTGGCTCAACCACTGGAGGAACTCCCTCAAGTCTTCTAGAGGCTGGCTCAGAACATCATCACCAAATAACCATGTCGGCTGTCTCATAGGACTCGTCATCTCGCAAAACTCTGCAAACGTGCGGTGCTGCTTCAGCTTCATAGGAAAGCGCGTTTTGACTACAAGTGGGACGTCATGGAATCTTCCTTGGCTGCAGGGTATCATGCCAGACCCCAAATTTGAAGGTCTACTTGCCCCACAGCCACAAAACTCCAATGGGCGTTCGCCCTCCACAATCCAGTGTCGGAACCAGTCCAGCCTGATCTTCTCACTTCAATCTTCTCACTTCGAGCAACATGGGCGAGTTGAAGACAATTTCGCCAGTTGAAGACATTATGTTCATGGGACAGTTTGACAGTTAAAGACATTCACTGGACAATTTGACCAGTTGAAAACATTGTGTTCACTGTGCCATTCTTAGAAACTGCCTTCATGTTCCCCTTCCTGAGCAAAGCGGCAGGCACATATCCATGGACGCGCCGTCGACCCGAAATGGTGGGACCTCGCCCACCCAAGATACAGGGTATCAAACTTAAAGGAGGTACTTAAGCGCCGGCTATAGACATGTGCCCCTTGTAGAACTTCATTCTATCAATGAAATGGTTCCAACATGGTGTGTCACTCGCTGGCTTCCATCAAGAATCTTCCATCAAAACATATCTTCTCACTCGCTGGCTTCCATCAAAAATCTTCCATCAAAAAATATCTTCTCACTCGCTGGCTTCCATCAAAATCTTCCATCAAAAAATCTCTTCTCACTCGCTGGCTTCCATCAAACACATTCCATCCAAAAAGCTCTTCTCAATTGCTGGCTTCATTCTATTCTGTCACATCACCGCATCAAGCAGGAGCAACTCTTCTCAGCTCAATCTCTCTGTGTGTGTGTATTAATGTGCACGCAAGTCAGACCAAGCACACAGGCGAGGCACGCGGAGCAGAAGGGCACGCCTGACAGTGACAGGAATGTATGTATGTGTAAGACGACCATGCCACGCGGGGCTGGGGGGGCCAACCGTCAGGACGATGTAGACGAGGAGGGGAGGGGACTTCCACCCGGAGAAACGTGGGCGGGCACGGGTAGAGCGGCTCCTCGAAGATCTCCCTTGGAGATTGGTCTCTCCGCCGGTTGCGCAGATCCACTGACAAGACAAGATCTGCCTGGTATGAATCCAGGTCCACCGGCGCTGCCGATGGGGTGTGAGTTGAAAGACTCCTGACTCAGACTGTCATGTCTGTCGGCCCCATTTTCGGCTTCCCTGCTTGGACCAGTTTCGGACGCGTCAGATTGTGACTGGTGTCCAGGGCCACAACATTGCTGGAGTATGGGTTGCCGTCGCCACCTTGATCCGATCTTTGCATCCATGTCTTGGGCAACGCCATCGGCGCTCATAAGCCGGTCTGACGGCTGAGGTCAACTGTAAGCCCGTGATAGCCTTGTTTTGCATGGCCGCAAGGCACGGCACGCAGCTGTTTGGGCCTGCGTCCAACATAACACGCCATGAGGCACGAATGTCGTACTGGACCTCACTGTGTGTGTTGTGGTTGTATGCTGTAAATGTGCCTTTGTGGTTGTGTGTTTTGTGTTTGTGGCTGGTTTGTGGTTGTGTTTGTGATTGCTTGCTTAGGTTTGTGGTTGTGTTTGTGTTTGACATGTGGTGACTGTGTGTTTGTTGTTGTTTGTTCGTGGATTCGTGGGCTGGCTTGTGACTGTGGTTGTATAAGTTGTATATGGAATCTGACGACCCTGACCTGGAGGTAAAAAATAAGCACAAACTGGCCATATGCGGGGAATGTTTTTCGTTGCAGGTGAACGGTGAAGCCAAACACAACAACCAGACAAAGCAACACAAAACAACCAACCCAAACCAAACAAAACAAGCAGCCAAACCCAAACAAAAGAAACAAACCAAGCCAACACGAAACACACCAAACAAAAAACACAAAACTGCCAACCCAGACCCAAACCAAGCCGAGCCAAACAAACAAACAAAAAAGTACACAACTACCTTACCAATCAAACAAACAAAAACCACAAAACAAAACAAAAGAATCAAACCAAGCCAAATGAAACAAAACAATCAAACAAACAATCCAAACCAAGCCAAGCCAAACAAATAAAGAAAAAACCAATCAAGCAAACATAAAACAACAACAACAACAAAATACAATCAAGCAAGCAAACGAAAACAAAAACAAACAAAACTAACCCAAGCAAAACAGAACAAACACAAAAAAATACCAAACAAACTAAACAACCCAAACCAAGCCAAACAAATAAACAAACAACCAATCAAGCAAACATAACACCAACAAAGCAAAACAACCAAACCAAACGAAACAATACAGTCAAGCAAGTAAACCAAAACAAAAACAAACAAAACTAACCCAAGCAAAACAGAGCAAACACAAACAAAATACAAACAAATTAAACACACCAAACCAAGCCAAGCCAAACACAAAACAAACAACCAATCAAGCCAACATAACAACAACAAAACAAAACAACCAAGCCAAATGAAACAATACAATCAAGCAAGCAAACCAAGACAACAAACACACAACACTAACCCAACAAAACAAGCCTATCAGCCCAAGCCAAACCAAGCCAAACAAATAAGAAAACAACCAGCCAACCAACCAAACAAACAAACAAACCAACAGAGCGCAACCCAAAAAATTACCAGCAGGCCTTTAATAATAATACTATCTTCTTTCTCTGTGTCTTCTTAGTCTTCTTTCTCAAAAATCTTCAAAAATCATCAAGAATCCTCAAACATATGCCAAAATCCTCACAAATCTGCAAAAATCTCAAAACAAAACACTCAAAAGAGCTGCCAACTTGCCAACTTGACACCACTGTGCAACCCACGAATGGTAAAATCCATGGTTGGACTTACCACGGTTTAAAAAAAGGAAGTACCCTGGGAACCAGGACCTCGTGAAATTTGATAACTGCCAGTCTCCTACTGTATATGTATATGTATAAGTGTATATAGTATATAGATGTATATAGATAGTTTGAGTCTCGTAAAGCAGCGTCCACTGTTGGAGATATGATTCATTGTAGCCAGGGGCGCTTGCGGTACTGACCCCGAAGGATTCGAACGGCAGAAAGCCTCTTGTCATCAATTGGTTGATATATTGATTGCATAGTAGAATCTAGGTTGAAACAGGATCAATGGCCGGTGAGCCAAACACTCTCCCACAGCGAGGAAAGCAGTTGCAACCTTTTTCACTTGCTCAAAGCAACGATACTAAGAAAGCATTATCGGCACCAACTTGGCAATCGTCAGAAAGCAGAATGAAGAGTAAGCGATAAGGACACTGGACACACTCATGGCTTGTGGGTGCAGAATGTAAAGCCTGCGCATATCAGCGCCAAATTTCACCAGTCCCACTATTCTGACACTGCCATGGTCGCCATAGTCATAGTCCTTTCAGCACCGTCATATATATAGTTGTTGAGGTGAGTCGAGTCTTTTAGTGTGCAGAAAAGACCATGTTGCTATATGCACCTTTGTGAAAATAGACGTTCAGCAGCTGTGAACCATTCGAAAACACGCAGAGCGCGCTCACTGCCGGCTTCGTTTTGCAGCCTCTGCCTGCAAAAGTGAAGAGGTCCGGGCAAAGGGACTTCGGAAAAGTGCTCTCCTGGTTGAGTAAAGTTGGAACCAAATGCAATGAAGTAGTTTCGAGATGACCAATATTGACCAATTGTCCCCAGAGGGAAAAATAGGAAAAGCATTAGTATTAGGACGCTATTAGGAACAAAGGGCATTACTACTAGGAGCAAGGACGATACTAGTAGCAATTTGCTACTAGCAGTAATGCCCTTGCTACTAGTAGCGATGCCCTTGTTACTACTAGCAAGGACGCTAACCAGGGGCGTCGGACTGATTGACATTCCTTCTGCTGTCGCCTTCAGCGCGTACTCTGGTAGGCGAGCCCTGCACGTTTCGAGAGGCTCCGAAGAGCATCAAAAGGGGGATCAGCTCTTCTAACACAAGGGTGATCTGCCACAGGAGCTTGAGGAACTTCAGCTACACTTGCTAAGGCTACACTAGGGTTAGAGCATGATTGCAAATGGGGCCATTTGTTTTTCGGGCCCAGGCGGCCCAGGACCTCCCGTTTGCAACCGTGATGCAGCTAGTGATGGACTCAGGACCTCCCGGCATGCATTGGCCAACCGTAGAATATGTTCACTGACAGACAACTTAACTTTGGTGTGGTTTGTCGGTATGCACCGTGAGAGTTGAAACATTTTGAAACAGCCCACCACTTTTCTGCTGAAGAGGTCCTCTTCACATGCTTGAGCTTCAGTTTGTAGTCAGAGGTGTAGCTCTCCTGACACGAATTCCCATCCCGATCCAGCCCGATTGCGGAAAGAAGCCTTCTGAAGAATCAGTGCAAGATGTGCAAGATGCAAGTTTGGTGAACGATCATATGACGCGATGAATTGAAGGAGTAAACACAAGTTGCGGATGCTCCCTTCCCCTTACCATGTCATCATCGCTACCTCAACTCTACCAGGCGGACTTTTTGGACCTTTCATCAAACCAAATATACTGATATAAGCCCACACACGGCACCAATCGCCATGAAACAGTACATGATAGCACATGTCTGACTTGTGCGACTCGTAGGGAATGAGGGTGGATCCAATGGAATCTCTATTGAATAGCTCAACTTCCCATCTCGTTTCCCGTTTCGTCCGAACATGGCACCGAGACGAGTTGGGCAAGGGCCTTCTCCGTCCACTGCCCTACGACCTCCGCGAACTGGTGCAGGGCTGGCCTCGCCGGTCGCTGCATCTCGGTGGATGTGCCAGATGTGGCGCCGGAAGGATGGTTCTCCATCGGTCTTTCTCAAAATGAACCCTGGAGAATGTGATTTTAGGAACTTTTGCGGCTTAGAACATACTGCGCATGTCATAGAATGAATCTCAAGAAGTTGGAGACATTCGGCGACAACATCTAACCGTGACTGGAATAGAGCAACATGGTGTCTAATCGGAGTGCCAAACATTACGGGATCTTGTTTGTGGTTGCCATTCTTGGCATCTCTCGAGAAAACGACAACAACAACAACAACAGCTTCGTCTTCTTCTTGGAATCTTGACCCAAAGGTCGTTTTTAGTACAATATATATATAGTTTAGGGTCTGGGTGGGCCTCTTTGCCTGTCAGCTTCAAACATACACTTGAGACTATTTATAACTAGCCCCAGACTATTTATAATATATTTGGGGGTTTGGACAGGCAAAAGGCCCCACACAGACCCCACCATCCACCAAAACGACCCAAAATCCACTCAGTGTGTTCAATCAACTGCATAAAAAAATGTAAACACAGCGCTTGCCGCTTTGCACTCTGTCTTTTTCCGTTCCTGAACCATTGGTTAGTCTGAGGTCAGATTCCTCTGAATCCACTCAAGCGAAACCCCCTGCTGGACCACAGTGGTCACATCTAAATGAGGGAATGGACAATTCCCACTCACTTCTTGGTTCTGACCCTTTTGGCCTTGGCTTTTGGCTCTTCCATCAACTCCCTGGACTTCCGTGGCGGCTTCCGGGTTTTTTTGCCATCACCATTACCATCACCATTGTCACCATGCTTCGCATCTGCCCTGGGAGATGGCTTTGGCTTTTGTTTTACAAATTTCCAGCTGTGGCTGTCCCAATGAAAATAAGGATACATGAAAAAGTAACTTCAAAAAAAGTGAAAAATGCAATTTCTTGAGCAATGGAAACAAGCACTTGGAGGTTAAGCAAAAGTCAAGAGGCTTTGCGCTTTCCTTGGGCAAAGAATCACCCTTGCTGAAGATGTCGAACTTCTTCCGGAGTGTCTCTGGGAGATCGGAAGGGGACATGCCAAGGGTCTGTGACATGAAGCCAGAGACCTTTCTGGCAACTGAGAGCCTTTGCCCATCATAGCTGTCTGCGTGGATGATGCACTCGGCTGCCATGCCACAGGCCACAGTCATAGAGACCAAATTGCACATCTCCTGAATTTGGTCAATGAATCCAATACTTGACCCACAATTTCCAGTGGCAATATGCATATGGGAAAAAACAATTGAGACTCAAGACAAATTAGCACACACTTTTGGCCCGTTGCCACCTCAGCATCCTTCCGCAAAGGTTTTGCTCTGGAAAGGACATGGTCAATGGAGGCTTTTGATGATGATCGAAAGGCCAAAAAATGTCCAAGACTTTGGCCTCCTTCCTGAGATCATCACGCCACTCAACCAAACTCGCGAATGCTTCATCCAAGGCTTTCTCGTTCTCCCCCTCAAACATCCACAGCACAGCAGCCAAGTTCCAATGCGTCACGCTCTCCACCACAAGACTGAAGGGTTGACACCAAAGTGCACAAAAGTGGTTGTCTGAATTCAAGTTGGGTCATTGTTTGTCTAGTCTTGTCCGGTGGTGTAACTGATTAATTGTCATCTCAACTAGTCTATTGTAATTTGAACTCAATTGTAATTGAATTATTGTATTATGTATTGTACTGGTACTCGTTACTTGTTAATTGTAATCATTGTTTCTTTTGGGCACCAGCCTACAAACAACCTTTTGTTTTAGAACCGGGCCTGTACTTGGAGACTTTACCCTTGCCAGTTTTGAGCATGTCCTCAATCTTGGAAAGACCGGCTGATAAATTTTCATGCGCCTGGCTCCTGAAGGATGACAAAGTGTCCATCAGGTCTGGAAAGAAGAACTTTATGTTCTCAATCTCCAAGCTGTCAATGGTCAGCAGTGCTTTGGCTTGCTGAGTAAGGGGGTCAGTTGGGAAGGAAACCAAACCTTGAAGCACATGGGCTTGCTTCAGCACACCCACCAGCTTGTCCAACTCTGGACTCAGCTCGAGCTTCTGATCTTGGATAACCTGCAAAGCCTTGACTGGCCCGTCAGTGGCCAAGAGCTGCTTCCATTCATGTTTCCCCACATTCGTGAGCTGCTGGTCAAAACGATCCAAAGCAAGTCTGCCTTCCTTCACCCACTTTGGAAGCCCCTCCAGCTTGTGGCATGAAGCCAATGTGTTCTGCAAACCTGCTCTGGCAGCACATGAATCCTTTAATGTGGGCTTCTCCTCTACCGCATAGTGAAGCAACATGCTGGCGAACTCACTCAAAGCAAGGTTCTGATCCACATCCTGGCGAAGAACTCTTGCACAAATAAGGCCTTCGGGCGAGTGAATCCGTGAGTGACACATTTAGCAGGTTGTAGCTGTAGCCTAGCCAAATTTAACCTTCAAAGAACTTGGGAGCAACCAAAAACTCAATCGGCCTTTCGTAGCAGCTTTCCAAATCGCCAACATAACCTCATCCTTGTCTCGGCATGGTAAGTACAGGTAGGCCTTTGGCTCTTCCAACCACAAATCCTGAACATGTTTACTGAATGTGACCTCCACATCAGAAAAGAACTCAGAGTTCATGGATGTAGTCATCTCTTCAAGCGCGCTCTTCAATTGATCTGCACTCTTTGCAGCTTCATCAGCTTTCAACTCCTGACAGGCTACAAGATAGTCTTTTGCACTGCTGCAATTGAAACCCGCTTCCTTCACCTCATTAAAGGTGGCACTGGAAGCAAGCGCTGGCGGCTGACCAAGTTTCTTCACAAGCTCAGTCAAAGACGTAGCCAACCGCTCAGCCTCAGAAGCAGCCTTGGACTCATCAATAGCCATCTTCGCAATCTCGCAGGCAGTTGCCCAAAGAGTCCTGTAGTGGGAAAAAAGGTCGTGTCGTGTTGCATTCCTACTTGCATGCATCACATTCCAAAATGTAGAGATTAACCAAACACGCTGCCACACACACAGGCGTTTAACCCCTGTCTTCAATCTGTTGTTTGCCCGGAAGAGCAAGGCGCAGCGAGGAGAAATTTGCGGTGAATTGCTCACTGTGGCTTTGATCTCCTTGATTCGCTCTGGCCCCAAGACCAGCTCTCCCTTGGACTGAATCAGTACATATCCAAGCGCCAGGAATCGCTGCAGGTCGGGGAGCATTTTCATGACCATGTGGACGTTGCCATGCACGTCACTGTCTCCATTTGGCCTAGACCATGGCATTGTGGGGAACTGAAGTACATGGTGAATGTCAGAGGCCACCTATCTAGCTTGAACGCCCTTCCCAAGGTTTGACTACTACTTACCGACTTGCTACCCTGTTTGGAATGAAACTTGGTTCTGACTGGGTTGGAGCCCTGTCCTGCTGAAAGTTGCTGCCCAAAGGTCATCTCCCTTCTGGAAGCTACGAAGTGCACAGTCAGTGGATTCTGGACTTGCTGTTCGAAATTTGTCCATCCAGCCATTGAACAATTGCACTTGTAGGGTCTTTGCTTGCTCTGGAGGCAGTGCGGTGCCAAGTGAAACCTGTTTGGTGTGAGCATCCAGACTCAAAAAGTCCCAGAAGTAGCCGTCATTGCCAGCAGTGAAGGCCATCTCAGAAGGGAATGACATGACATCCACAATTCATGATAGTGGCAAAGGGTGTCTTTTCAACATGGTGGCCTAGTCCTATCACCCTAGTGGTTTATCACAAACTGTGACCATATGCCAGCCTCAGTGAGCTTGCGGCCAATCTCTGTCAAAATGGCAGTTCGGCAGTCAATCTGCATTGCATCAAAGAAGTCTTCATAGATCTTGAACTCATCATTGTCGAACGCAAACTGCGGGTTGCTGAGACCTGCTTTCTCAACCATATCGCGGGCATTCTCAATGGCCAAGAGACAAGTGTTTGTTTGGTTGATCAAACCCTGCAGCTCTTGGGCAAGTCTTTGCGCGACTTCACCGGGATCCTTTTCTAGCTGAGTCTGCAACTCACACAACTTTCCAAGTTTGCTGCTCACATCCTTCTCTTTGACACTGCCTTGCCACAGGCTAAGTGCGGTAATCTTCTTCAACAACTCAATCCCAGCAGTAGCCTTCTCAAGTCTTGCCGCAAGCTGCTCATCTGAAGGTCCAGCCTTGTTTTGTTTGGTCTGCACTGGTGTAGCTGCTGACTCTTCACGGCGGGCCCTTTTTGGTGCTGGCTTGGCGGGCTTTGCCTTTGCAGCTGATGCTGTGAAGCCAAACATCTCATCAGAAGATGCTGCATCTGACTCTTCAGCACCTGCTGGAGCATCCTCTTCCACCGTCTCAGGTTGGCCATTCAAAGCCACATCCTCCTCTTCCTGTGAAAAACAGGTGTGCGCTATGTGGTACAGTATCGAATGGTTTTGATCTGGATCAATCGAGAAAAAACATAACATGACATGGTCAATCATAGTCATATAGTCATAGACTCGTAGACCAATAGTCGTAATAGTCATAGTCATAGTCTATGAGTCATAGTCATCATTAATAGTAGTCTAGTCTAGTCTAGTCATAGTCATTGTCATCATAGTTCATAGTCCTTAGTCCCCTTAGCAAAAAACTTGGCACAAAAAGTTGTCAAGAGAAAGCGTGAAAAGATAGAGAGACGTGGGTAGTGAGAGCAGTCCGTCCTTCGTGTTTACCTGCATCTGGTTGTTCAACTTGTTCTTCTCCTGCTTGGACTTGGCGGCGGCTGAGTTCTCATGCTCTTCTTGGCGGATTTGTGACGCAGAGACACGGCTGCCCATTCGAACTTTCTTGGTGCTCGATGATGCCACAATGATAACTCCTTCTGTTCCCATGTCATCCTTCAGGGAGCCAAATGGCGGCACTTCTGCTGGAAGTTTAACAGGGTATATAATATATTATATTGCCAATCGCACTTATACATAGAGACTCACTGACACACTGTGTGCTGAATCTGAAGTCATTCAGTCCTGCTGCA